GGTATTTTATTATTTACTAATATATGATTTCATAAGAAATTGGCCATGTTTAATTTATTTTGCATTTAAGTTCGTAAAACATTTAAAAATCATGGCTCATTTGGAATGGGTCTGGCCCATGTTAAACCCCATTTCCCACACTTTTTGGAAAAAATGAACTACTGAATATATGAGTTTAACTTTTATTTTGACACTCCAAAATTCTTCTCTGATCTCGAAACAATCAAAGTTTTGACATATATTTACCAAAAGATAAGAAAATTCATGTTTCAAAGTTATCGATAAACAGTAGAGATGTCGGTTTTCTTGGACTAAAAAAATGGCATCAAACTGAACTTTGGTCTCCGATTTCTCGCAAACGGGTTCGAATTTCGGAAAACCGACTTCAGTCTGGGACATAGGTGGCTCAGCTCTAGTGAAAACCGTTTTGTGGAAAAAAGGTGGCAGTCTACCTTTAAGGCTCTCAGAGACCAGTACAGGGCCTGCAAAGGGCAGTTTGAGACGTTTAGATGCCGACTTGGGCCATCAGAGGCTAATGTGGGTCCTTACAGGCCATCATGGGCCCTCAGAGGTCAGTGTGGGACCCTAAAATACCTGCATGGGCTTACCGGCATGGGAAAATACCGGCACGGGATCTGAGGGCCCGCAGTGCGGGGCCCTCAGATCCCATGCCTCAGATCCCATGCTCAGAGGCACCTAAAGGTTAGTCTTGGGACCCCAGAGACAGAAATGATGTCACCAGAGGCCGTAGTGAGGCCCTCAGACGCCGGCTGGGCCCTTGAGGCCGGTTTAGGGGCCCTCAAATGCCAGTGGAGGGCCCTCAGAGGTCAATGTGGGTTCTCATCCCTCAATGTGGGCGCTTGACCGCCACTGAAGGGCCCTCCGAGATCAGTGTAGGACCCTCAAAGACTGGTATGGGAGCTGTTAATAGCTGGCGTGGGTTTCTTGAGCCTCGTGACAATCGAATAAGGGCCAGAGCCCCATACACCCATGGGGGCCCTGCCCATTGGTTGTTTGGGGGGGGGGGGGCAAATGATATGATGGCCCCCTGATTAGCCTTTGGAGGGGGGAAGGGCATGGTCCTGATCCCCCCTCTGCGACCGCCACTGCACTGAAAGTGCGAAGGGGGAGGGGCAGATACCCACAGACATTGCTGGCCCCCGGCCTGTTTGAACCGAGGCAGGGGGCACGGTCACCCTGGCCCCCAGCTACTACGCCTGTGACGAACTATGCCGACTCCAAGCAGATCCGGTCAAGCGTTGGTCGTTTGTATACGCATTCTCCTGCACCTTACTACACCTTTTTGCATTTGAAATCAACCATTCGCCATAACTGTTTGAGGAGCCATTTCGACAATCGGCATTGAGCACAACTATTCCGGCGTGGTGTGTTTCATTTCAGCCATTCAGCAAAACAGATTGAACACTGAAATGAGCGATCTGCAAAACAGTTTAACAGTTCGCCAGACTTCGGCATAGATGGAGCCAGCTCGGCATATGACGAATACTTTCGACCATTGACGATTTGTTTTGCCCAATGTTGAACCATTCGATCAATGTCGAGTTGTAGAGGAAGATCGCCGAATAGTTTTGCCCAATGGTGATTTTTTGTGACCAACTGCCCATTTGTAGCGCCACCTATATGGCGAATGTGTACAAATGTTTTGCCCAATGGTCAAAAGCTAACGCAAAAAGGTGTAGTATTGTCTTATTCCTTTTCAGTGCCCGCTCATGTCCCGCGTCTCGTATTCAACAAAATGCTGCCACCAGGACTCACAGTTTTGTCTCTGATATGGTTTCCTTCATTGAGTGAAGGAAATTGCGGTCAATAACGCTGTAGAACCAAAAGGGAATCTTGGTTGGGAAAAGGCAGGTTGAATAGTCGTCAAGTTCTGGTGTTTAGGGTACCGGGTGGTAGGTACTTACAGACAGACACTAAAGTCAGCAAAAAGTGGGGGGCCAGTTAACATTGCTGCCCCCCCCCACCTCCGAAAGGGGGGGCATGCCCCCCCCCCCGCCCCCCCTGTTCCTACGCCTATGGTCAACGGACGCGTCGAAATAAACAACTTCTAGCACTCCACTCTTCTACTCTGCAGATCTGAGATCACTACCACCTTGCTGACCTTGCTACCACCCAAGCCCTATATCATTATGAGCAACCAATCACTCACAAAAGGCCTCTACACCAAGGCCCTAATATATAATACTGAACGAGGCCGGTGTAAATAAATTTTCAAGACCGAGGTCCTTACTGGATTTTTGAACGAGGCCGAAGGCCGAGTTCAAAAATCAGTAAGGACTGAGGTCTTGAAAATTTATCACCGGCCGAGTTTGGTATGTATTTTACTGTATGCCAACGATAAAATAATTGTCTAGACCGAAGCTCTTAGCCGTTTTTTGAACGAGGCCATCCCAAAATGTTGACTTGGTAATTCGTTTTTGACCGTGGTCACTTTGCTTACACCAGTTATTACCACACCCCTCAGGCTAATGTATTTGAATAGGCCAGGCATACAGTAAAACTCTACACCACGCTCGGCGCTTGCTCGGCGCGGTTCATTCCCATGGTTGAGCCCAAGTTGAGCCCTTTAGACTCTTTAGTGCCCTGGTTGAGCCAAGCCGCCAAGCTTCCTAGTTGTTATTGCAACAAGAGCGTACCTTATTTTTTAGCAGTTCAAAATGACAAATGTAATTTTGGTATGTCAAAACTGGTCAAAACAAACTGAAGTTTGGTGACTTTTTTCGATTAAAAAACTTTTCAAAAAAACGTAATTAGAAACTTTTTTAAATAAATTAACTATTTTTCACATTTTGAGCAGTACGTACTGTATGTAGTGGACTTCCAAGTCAAAAATTGCACTACGTACAGTGTACGTACTGTACGTAGTGGTGGCGGCGCCCCTGGCTACAGGTCAACCCGAGGTCACGGACAAAGCCACACTGGCGGGACACATCGGTAACACCTTGAACCAGTTTCCAGGGGGGTCACCGTCTGCGAGGGGTGCAGGCTGCACGTGCTGGGGGCGGAAAACCGTTTTGACATGAGGTCCTCTGGCTCAAAGAAATTTTGAGCTATCAACCTCAAAATCGGTTCAATGGTAGTCTCAGGCAAGGCCTCCAAAATAGTGCACATTTGGTTGAGCTAAACTCTGTGGTGCATGAGCTAGGTACGTGCAAGCCGATTGCACCCCTTCGTGCGTTGCCACGCCTGCAGGGTAAACGGCCGCTCTAACTGGTTCAAAACTTGCAGGTCATAAGAAGAATACATTGAGTCGTAACATTCCGGCGAGATAATATCCCAGGGGTGCAAGCTGCGCGTGCGGGGGGCGGATAACGGTTTTGACTAGGGATCCTCTGATCCCGGGAAACGTCGATCTAGCGACACAAAAGTCGGTACACTGATAGAACTAGACACACGCTACATGATGTTATGAAAATGACTGCACTGGGGTGCCTGGGACATGAACTATGCACGTGCAGTTAATTCATACCATACTGTAGGAAGATATCCGCACCAATCTCACGTGCTTCGAAGCATTTTTGGGATGTTTCGTTTGGTTTCAGGTTCAGTCCAAGCTCAGTCTGGGTTTCGGTGGTTTGGCCCGGTGTGTGCCCTCAGTACCGTTCCTCCAATTCTGGCCCAAGGCAACGCAAGAGCGCTGCCGGCATCTAGTTAGTCCAGAATTGGAGGATCAAAAACATGCGATAGCATGCTTTTGCATCCGGAAATTCCCATTGGTGGGTCGCTGAAAAAAAGTTCGGCTGAACCAAGGGCTGAACCTGTTTGTCAGTGAGTATGTGAGTGAGTTTGTCCAAGCTTTTTTGGACCTGGAGTCAAAATGGGTGGACCGATCGGGACGAAAGTGGGACCGTTTGATTCGTCTCCGGCGAGGTAAACTTTTGGTGCTGGCCTCGGTTCGCTCGGTGCTTCGTGGCACATGCTATTCCGCTTCAAAGTTTCGGTGACACGAAATTTTTTGTCAAGGCTACAGGTCAACCCGAGGTCACGGGCAAAGCCATACTGGCGGGACACATCGGTAACACCTTGAACCAGTTTCCAGGGGGGTCACCGTCTGCGAGGGGTGCAGGCTGCACGTGCTGGGGTCGGAAAACCGTTTTGACGTGAGGTCCTCTGGCTCAAAGAAATTTTAAGCTATCAACCTCAAAATCGGTATAATCAACCTCAAATAGTAATAATGCATTAGTATTCCTTACTTATAGCTCACTACAATATAGCGGTTCGGAAACGTTACCTACCTAATTCCGAGAAGAACAAAGTGCTGAGCAAAACGACCATTGGGACTAAAAGTAGCGAACCTACACTGCAGAAATGCTGATACTCGAGTGGAGGAAACCATAGTCACCACTCCACCTTGGCGCCCATACCAATACCACAGCGCAACCAGCTACAGTTAATCAGCGGCTAATAACCCTGCTTACGATACGTGCTCCGGTCGGAAATAAAGTTTTTTATCATTGCCGCAGTAATCGTACTCACCTTAAACTCACCAGAGAACACTTGCGCCTTATAATCACACTATGGTGCTTTAGATATGTTCAACAAAAGATAAAAAACAACCTCCAAAAATTAGAAAAGTAATACCACCCAGCTACCAATATTGTAATTTATCAGCAGTGCAGTGCGTCTCTCGCTACAACACTGCACGTCTTATAAACTAGCAACAGCCGCGATTTAGAGGACTACCTAATAAAACCAAGCATCTAAGACAGTAGAACTATATTGAACAGCAAACTAACACGATGAGATATTTTCCTTGATATTGGGGCAATGATGTGGAAAATGAAAATAATGGAAAGATTATACGTCACGTCAAAGGACACCGTAATCAAATATACTCCTTTGAATTACTATAAGGCTGCGCTTTAGCTCCAATCCTGGTGTCGGCCGACCCCCGAGGTCTGACCACTCTGCTGTAACCCCTCCCCCTACCCCGTCCCGCGGCCACCCCTGCCTGGAGCCGGCCCGCCTGGCGCCATTACCTGGAGTCGTCGTGCTGGCGGCGGGGCGGTCCGCCGCCGCGCGGCACATAGCCCGTGCCGCGGCGGGGCGCGTAGCCGCGCGCGCGGAACGGACGCCGCGTCGGCGCGTGGTAGTCGTCGCGCGGCCGTCGGTCGGCGTAGTCGTCCCGGCGGTTGTAGAGGTAGTCGGCGTGCCGGCTACGGGTCGAGCTCGACTGCAGACAGGCAGGGCGGCACGGCGGCGGCCGCGGTCAGCGCGGCACGGCGGCGGCCCCCTCCCGGCCGGCCCGGCCCGGCACAGCCGGCGGCGCCGGGCCGGCGCGGGGGCACCACTCTCAAACGGCCGCCGCCCGTGGTAGCTCTCAGCTTGTCAGACCCTTGTAGGGCTGCCGCCGCTGGTGCGAGCGAGCGCACAAAGCTCCATATCAACGGGCGGACAACGTGTCACATGATCAGGGCTACTAGGGCGTCTTCAACCACAACCAAGAAACGATGGTATTGGATACAAAAACAGATACTTGGTAGAAGGTTTACAAATGCGTCCTCAAGCGCACAAGATATAAGGAAGCATTCATTTCTGTCGTTTGTTACGATCCGCTGTAAGAAAGTATGCCAGTTAGATGTCTTCCAACGTAAAATGTGCTGAGAACATATTCTTTTTGTGTCTCCTTTACAACACACCGTTCTTTATTCTCCTTGATCAGCTTTTGGACCGCAAATGCATGCCCTGCGCATCAAATGCAACATTTTGAACAGGGTTTGACGCGGATGAGAGAAATCATATCCGTCGGTGTTGGTGACTTTTTGCCAGCCAATAAGATTATCTCAATCAAACAAGTCACAACTCAGGTCGTCAGCATGTCAGGAGTGTCAAACAATCATATGTTCACCATCTCGGTCTGTCCTCTCTCTTTCTCGGCCTCACCGCGCGAGCCACCTCTTCGGTACCTGCCTGTCTGTCTGTCTGACTTCCTTCCGGTCCGAGCTCCGCCGCCATCCTGTCTGTGTCCGCCTCAGCTCTGCGCCGTGTCGGGCCCCAGCCATCAACGCTTCGCCTCGGCCAGCCTCCTCTTCACCGTGCAGCCGCCTGATGCCGGAGCTCCTTCCCCCCCCCCCGGCCCGCCCGCCCGTCCCCACCCGGCCGTACTCACGCGATCCCGGTCATACAGGTCGTCCCTGGGCCGCTTGTAGGGGGGCTCGCCGGCGGCCGAGTAGTGGTCGCTGGGCCGCCGCACGCCGCCGGCGGTGCCGCCGCTCGAGATCAGCGTGTCCACCAGCTTCTGGGCGATCTCCAGACGCTCCCGGTGGGAGCCGCCTGCAACGGCGACCGCGCCACAGCCGTAAATAGCCAGCAGATAACGACCGAGAGAAAACACACAGATACGGGTCACCGAGATACTTTCCTCAATGACTATTGTCTCAGCTGTTAACATGAGCCAACTTATTGATCTAAAAGGAATAGCTTGGATCAAAGGCATCATAAGTGTAGCATATATTAAAAAGCATGTGTCCCTCATCCCTGGTTATTACTTATTTCCTTGATGATCTAAAAGGGGCATCATTTTCCCCCTTGTCGGCGCATTTCCTTTCCATCACCCGACACATACGTATTGCGTACACGACGTGCCAACCGCAGTGATGCGGTTGCGGGACATTACTGACCAGAGTCGGTGCCTGAGAAGGGCGGTGCTACAGCTGGTCTGTGGGGGTTATTTAGGTTATTTACAACAAACCTCAGTCGGTACCTGTGCAGGGCAGCACTGACAGTCTGTGTGTGAGTGTGTGGAGCAGCAACACCTGTCTGTGTCACGCAGTACTGACGATCTCAGCTGTGTGGGACCAGTACTGACCGGTGCCGGCGTCGCGTCGGTCCCGGGCCGGGTAGTAGCGGCCGGTGCCGCCGCTGCTGGCGCCGCCGGCCGAGCGACTGTCGTAGTACCCGCCGCTGCCGCCGCCGCTGTAGCCGCCGCTGCCACCGTAGCCACCACGGCCGCTGCTGCTGTAGCCAACGCGGCTGCTGCCGCTGTAGCCGCCGCCGCGGCTGCTGCCACTGTAGCCGCCGCCGCGGCTGTAGGAGCTGCTGTAGTAGCCCCCGCGGCTCCCGCGCGGCGTCGTGCCGCCCCGACTGTTCGGGTAGTAGCGAGACATGGTCTCTATGGCTCTGCAAACAGCAGCAGGCATGTTACCATTACATAATACAATACATAAAATATGGGCTGTTCATATTTCTGAATTCAAGAATTCAGCACAAAGGCATTTAAACATTTTCACATAGTTTTAGTTTTAGGTCAGATGCTCTAAAAATAAAATAATATATATGTCGATCCCCATAGGGTTTTTTACTCCTTTCCTATCACACTTCCTTAACAATCTGAGAGGAGTTAAAAAAAACTAGGAGCACTATTTCTGGACAGTCACAGGACCATTTCTGCAAGGAAATCAGCTGTTGTCACACTATAAATCATACTCCTACAGCCTCCTCTAATCTCCTCTAACCTCTCTAGTTGAAAAAAATGGTTCCATGCACTCCTCCAAGCTCCTGTAGGCTCCTCTTAATCCCAACTCTGACCACCACTATACTCCCCCTCCTCATCCCAGACAAAAGCTCAACTTTGAGAGGAGGCCAAAAGCAACATATATTGGTGCACATAATTTATGCAACTATGGTCGATAAATGACATTTTGATTTGAGTAGGTATATCTTGCCACTGAACATACACAAACAGCTGGATCCTCTGACGAATGTTCTGAGTTGCCTCAAAGACAGCACTCCTCCAAACTCATCCAAGATTCTCTTGTTTACTTTTTTAGGGGTGAGGGGTTGGGGGGGGGGGGCAGGAAGGAAGAATTAAAACAGAACAAATGTCTACCAAAGCCTACTCTAGAAAACAACTGTAATTTGGGATGAAGGAGAAGAATAATAGTGGTCAGAGCTTCACCAAGCCTTAGAAGTGATAGCTGACAGGAGCAATTTTATTGGGAATGGCTTAAAAAGGTTGGCGGTGTGGGTACCTATTCATATACGATATATATTAAGTCCGATCGCCAAAATAATCATAACAAGCATGTCACACAATCTTCTTTGACCTGATTTCATATGTAATTCAGGGCGGCTCGCCAGTTTGAGCACACAACAACCGGGGACGGGACATCTCGACCCAAAACCTTTCCAAAACTGCCAGCAGGGGAATCTGGTGCTAGATTGACTGAAGTGCCAAACATATTCTGTGACCATCATTAGCCAAAAATTATGCTGCTGCTTGGCGCCAAAAAAAATCAGCCACTGAATTGCCAGCCATGCACTGAATTTGGTGCATGCAAAAATATGCCGCATGTGCGCTGAAACTTTCCGTTAATCTCGCCACTATGCCAGACATATTCGACAAAACATGTTATTTTCAGTCTGGGATTACCCTAGCCTACCAAAGCACACCCTCGCCTCAATTTTCAAGACTTGTGACGAGGTTAGAAAATGTGGCCAAATTGATTAGGGTACTTTCCTCCCTTTTATTTTGGACTAGCATATTAATATAATGGACAGGAGCGAACAGGTTCAAAGAAAAGCATTTTCATGTATTGGAATAATTGAAAATGCATTAAAGTTCTTCTCACCTATAAGATAAATAACCGCAAAATCCAGCGACCAACGCACACACACAACGCACACAACTTCTCCTTTCCACACGCACGATTCATTAGAAGTCGTTCACCCAGACATCACTAACTTCGATTTATGACGTCATTATCATACTGCCTGTGAATTGGCCGATATGATTTTAACATCGCAAAGTCTATACATCATGTAAGATTTTTTCTTTGCATGAAGTGTGAAAAAGACAGCAAATACAAAATATGTCGAGATAAAAACCTCTCTGAATAATGTTAAGATAATTGTCATTCAAATGAACATGTGCATTTGGAAATAATGCGCATTTGTCCTCATGACGTCATATTTACAAATGAAGATCACAGAATACTATGGACGCAAAAAGCCGGCGTCCGAAAATTTTATTTTACAATTACGACGCGGTGAAAAGAAATCCGTTACTAAATTACAGTTTCTCAGCATCTGTATACTTAAATATAGATAATATAAGATGATAACCCCTGTAACGACGCAAGTTCCATCGCATTGAAACTTCCCCTAGTATAAAGGATTGTTCTGTCCAGTGTCCTCTTATACATGGCCTTGATGTTCGTCATTCAACTCAATCTAACACATCAATATCGTCAATAGTAGTGAATGAATGAGCTTTTTCTTTTTTACAGGTGAAACAGGCTTGCAACGCTTGCAACAGGCACACCTCTACTGGCAGTCATTCAATAACCTGACCGCTACATCCTGACTTGACCACTTAACTTTCATACAAGCATTCCGCGGCCGCCAATTTCACAGTTTTGTTACATCAGCCTCTGAGGAATGAGGAGACCCTTCCCCATGAACAAAAGAAAGTGCCCAGAAGGCATTTCAGGCATTTACCATTTGCGCATCTTCCGAAAATTACAAATTTTGTCGTTCCACCACAAAGAAAAAGTAGTACACCCTATATATGGCCATGAGTACACCCTGAAATGACCCCGTCCCACGGGGACCCGCAGCGTCCTCACTCTCAGTCCCGCATCACATTTCTCGATGTCAGTGCGGGAACCGATCCGAGCGTAATATGTATACATGCCTCGCTTGCCGTAATTCTCATATAATGATCAAAAACACCACATAATAACAATGAACATGGTCATGACGTGATTGGGTCGAGCATCGCCTCCAAACACGGTCGGCAAAGACACCTGGTCCCAGACGATCGGCAACATGCGACCCATCATGTAAGTAGCAGAGTCGAGACACTTGATACAGAAAATGCACATCAGAGGCACTTTTTCAGCGACATCGAGTAGCGAAATCTGGCATGCGTTTGAGGAACCTAACTATCGACATAGGTACTCGGAGTCGGCTCCCTGAAGTCAGCATTTCACGTCAGCAACGGTCACTAACGCAGTCATCACAACCAAAAACCTGCTGGTTACATCCTGTCAATAATTCAACCAAAAATACCGTACTCCTTCCCACTGGAATGTCGTGTCGATATAGCCGAATGCAGCGACCCGACCCTCTCAACCCACTCGCGTCCCTTTCCCTGAGTTTGACGGTAGTTGGTATCTGAGCTAGCAGCTGCCCCTCACCCACCCGTCTCCAGCGGTCCTCACAATGGCCCGAGCCCGGGCGCCGGCTGTCCGCCGCCGTCCCCCGCCGCTGCCAGCTCCGCCGGGCGGACCGGGGGAGGCGGCGGGGGATGCCAGGGGGCGCCGTACGGCGGCGGCACAGCCGGCATCTGAATCTGCGCCGTGCCGCCGCCGGGAGTGCTAAGCTGCACCTGGATGGGCCCGAGCGGCGCGGCCGCGGCCGGTGCGCCCGCGCCCGGACCGGCCGTGCACGTCTCGCTGTGCCTCTTCAACGAGCTGAGTAGCCGGAATGAGGCGGAGCAGGAGGAGCACCTGCGGGAGAGGGCGGACAACGTCACACCGGGTGGAGAACGTCACACCGGGCGGACAACGTCACACCGGATGAAGAACGTCACACCGGGCGTCAGATGGGCGTGGCCAGTCCGGACGATTTAGCTAAATAACTGCCAAACAAACTCATGATACTAATGAAATAAAATAGAAATGCAGAAACACGCCAAGACCCATCGTAGTAACATTCTGCTCCCAAATACCCCAGCAGTCACTGCTCACCACCCATACACAATTCTGAAAATATCGGAGCTCTCCTTCACCAAGTAATCTTAGCTTCACCGTCCAATATCATCCTTCCTCTACCGGACGCCCACTCAGCTCCGTCTACCCACACATCGCGTCTGGTACAGAGCCAAACCTGCTGACCTGTAGGGCCGCTCGCCGGGACCCCGCCGCCCGCTGACCTGTAGGGCCTCTCGCCGGTGTGTATCCGCTGGTGGACCGTGTACGCCGACTGACTGGTGAACTGACGGTCGCAGTGCGCGCAGCTGAACCGCGCCGGGTTCGTGTGCTGGTTACGGTGCGCCCACAGACACGAACGACGACCGTACGACTTGCCACACACCTCGCACGTGTACGGCCGCTGACCTGCGGAGAGCACGGGATGAAGTCACTGTGCGATTTACGCAGAGAGAGGGTCAGCTCAGATGTCAGAGAGGGCCAGCGAGGGTCAGATCAGATGGGTTAGACGTCGTGGTCGCAAGGTGTCGAGTTTGACCGGACCAGTTATCATATTGTGACCAAAAATCGTGTCTACTTAGATTACGTATGAAGCAATGCAAATATAGCAAATATAATATAATCATAAGCAAATATATTTATATATAGCTGCAATCGCTGTGAATATATAGCTGTTATAACTGTAATAGCGTGTCGGTTCCGATTTATATATCTTCCAAACGGTACGTTCAACCCCATTGTATGCCATAAATTTGTGACGTATCAGGCTCGAGGTAAAGAAACAACGTTTTAGGAAATAACAGTACCAACAAAAATAAAATATAAAACCTACTGAACACGATTCAGACAAAAAAAAGTTTTGCGGCAAAGCACAAGTTACAACCAAATCAGCCAAAAACCCTGGCTCTGGTCGACCGCCCAGTGCCCACACGTCCAGTGACGCTCACCTGAGTGTACGCTGAGGTGTTCTTTGTACGCGTCCTCGTAGGTGAAGCCCTTCCCACAGACGTCGCAGACGAACGGCAGCGGCCCCGTGTGGCGGGCGCGGTGCGCGCGCAGCGAGCGCTTCCTCATGAAGCCGTGGCCGCAGAACTCGCACGTGTGGGGCTGGTGGCGGCGCTTGTCGTGCGTCTTCATGTGCGCCGCCAGCCGCCGCGAGCTAGGGAACTCGCGCGAGCACAGGCCGCAGCGCAGCGTCCGGTTCTCGTGCCGCTCCAGGTGCTCGGCCAGGCTCTCCTTCAGGTGGAACATCTCGGCGCATAGGTGGCACTTGTGCGGCTTGTCACCCGTGTGAGTGCGCCGGTGCGCGCGCAGCGAGGAGAACGCCACGAACCGCTTGCCGCACTCATCACAGCCGTAGGGCTTCTCGCCCGTGTGTCGCCGCATGTGCTCGCGCATGCTGTCCTTGCGCAGCTGTTTGTGGCACACGGTGCAGGTGTCCATGTGGGCGGCCGCGTGCGCCGCCAGCGCCTCCTCGGCCCAGAAGCCCTGGCCGCAGAAGGCGCAGACGCGGATGTCGGGCGCGTCCGGCGGGTGGGCGCTGCCGTGCGCCTCAAGAGCCGCCCGGTCCGCGCACACCACGCCGCACTTGAGGCAGGCGGCCAGCTGGCGCGTGGACAGCTGGTGCTGCCGCGTGTGCCGCTTCAGCTGCGGTAGCTGCGAGAAGGCGCGTCCGCAGAGCGCGCAGCTCCACAGCACGGCTGGCGCGCACGAGGAGCGGTGCTGCGCCAGCTCGGCGGCGTCCGCGAACCCCGCCCCGCACTGCTCGCACCGCGGGCCCGCGGGAACAGACTCCTTCTCGTCCGATTCCTCCCCCGGCTGTTCTGTGGGAGCGGCCGGACGGCGACGGCGCAGCGCCCGCCGCGGGCCGCCCGCGCCCTGCTTACCCGCGCTGACACGCAGCTCTTTGAGACTCTCAGGGTCCTCCGGGGCTGCCGAGTCCCCTGATTCGGCAGGGTGTCCCGGCTCGTCCAGATCACCTGCTGTGCCGCCGGTATTATCTCCACCACTGTCCGAGAGCGACGCTGGATCCGGTGCAGGGGACTTTCTCGGACACGGGCGCCCAGACGCCAGTGGCGAGACAGTGGAGTCGTCAGGGGTGAACGGAGCTACACATGTGACGTCAGAAATGCCCAAACGATCAAAAATGACGTCGACATTGACGGCAGCACAGCCGGTGATGTCCAAACTAGCCGGAACGCCTCTGGTGATGTCAGCAGATCCTGGAGGCCGGCTGATGACGTCGGAATCCACCGGAGTGCCGCTGCTGGTTCGACCACGAGCACTGGTGATCGCAGATGGATCACCGTCCACTTGATTACGCCGAGATCGCTTTGCCGGCCTCTTCTGAAAAAGTAAGTAGGTAGCAACACTAGCGAAAATATTTGGGAAAAACACATAAGCACGGACGCAGAAATGGAACTTAATTTAATCGTTAAAAAAGAGGGCATCCAGGCCAAAATATCCAGAACTTGATCTTCCACAGCTTTTAGACAGATTGAAGACGAGAGACGAACGTCTTACCATAGACCTCTACATACCTGGACTGGACACTCGAATCTGGCGAATTGCATAGTGGCCCTAAAAGTAAAACGTTATATCTCGGGAACTAGGTCAGGTACGATGTTACAGTCCTCACTACTGGGCAGCCCTATTCATCAAAATTTAGGGCACACGTGTGTTGAAGCAATACCATGTAATAGGCCACCGTGAGCACGTGGCACGTGAGGGATGTTTTCGAAAATGGTGCATCAGTATCTCTGGAACGGCTGAACCGATTGGCCTGAAATTTGGTATGTAGTCTGGTACACCACAGTCAACACTGCAGGAAGGTCGAATCTTGGTATACCAGTGCACGTGCGCACGTGCGTACCCCTTTTTTGTATCTCAGGAACCACTAGGCCGTTGGGGATGAAATTTGGTATGTAGCCAGACAACACATAACTGACAATGACGCACACTCGATGCTTGGCCTATCGGTGCACGTGCGCACGTGCGTACCCCTTTTTTGTATCTCAGGAACCACTCGACCGATTGGGCTGAAATTTGGTATGTAGCCAGATAACACATACCTAACTGATTATGACGCACACTCGATTCTTGGCCTTTCGGTGCACGTGCGCACCCCTTTTTTGTATCTCAGGAACCTCTCGACCGATTGGGATGACATTTGGTATGTAGCCAGATAACACATAACTGATAATGACGCACACTCGATACTTGGCCTATCGGTGCACGTGCGCACGTGCGTACCCCTTTTTTGTATCTCAGGAACCTCTCGACCGATTGGGATGACATTTGGTATGTAGCCAGATAACACATAACTGATAATGAC